CCCACGAATTTGCCAATAAAATTTAATCTCGGGATCCCACATAAAAAGGGATTTTCTTTTACGAATGGTTTAATAAATTTTATACAAAAACTGTTTTAGATATATTCCAAAAATAACATGACCCAAAATCTTCGTTTATTTTAACAAAAAAATACATGTTAACAGTAACTTTTCAAAATTGATATATATTTGATCCAAGGCAATAGTTGATATTAAATAGAAATTCGTTTAAAAAAATGTGTATCATGATGTTTCTTATCATAGATCATTATAGGTAGGAAATGTCTAATAAACAAAAAACAGACAAAAATGTTTTCAAATTTTTTACTGACATAAAATTTGTCAAAGTTCAAATACAAATAAACGAACTTTAAGTGTACTATTTATTAAAAGAGAAATGTAGCTATAGTGCAATTGATACAAATAAAATGGACAATGCCTTTATGCTTCTATACAAAAAAAGAATTGAATTCGTACACAGAAAGCATGTTTTCAAATTCTATTCAGCCGGGGTGAAAAATAATTTTAAATACAAACAAAAGCCTTCTATATATTTTTACTTTTTTAAATTATTAATTAATTAAATTGATTAATATTTTTTTTAATATTATTTATAATTTCTCTATATTTTCAAATAAAATTCATGAAAATTGTTATTTTTATTATTATTAAATGTAAATTTTTGTATTATGAGCCTATGGTATATCAATGCCATAGGCTCACAAAAAACTAGTTTTCTGCGCTATAAACTATACCCTGTTATTCTTTTGTATTTTAGATTTTTTCTACAGTTTTTCTCCAAAATATATAGGAATATCATAGTTGTAGTTAATCGTTTTTTGTGGGCCTGTTTTAATAATGCAGGTTACATAATACCAGTTTACAACACAATTGAACATAATGATAATAATAATAATAATAATAATGATATACCAACAATATAAGGGTGATTCTACAAAAGTTGGGCAACTTTTGACCTCATTCTGTTTATATAGTTTTCGGAGAAAAATAAACAGTATTTTGTTATGAGAACATAGATAATGTAGGTAATAAATATACTGTTCCAGACCGGGCCAGTCCCTTTTTCAAACAGTTCTGAAATATCTGTGTTTTCTAAATTTGAATGCAAGGGAAGTGACGAGTATACCAGGGTACTAATTAAATACATAATTTATTGGAAAATATAAGATTTATTGCAACTTTGAGCATATTATACATTAAATATCTTAAAATAAAATAATACCACACATCAGTGGCGGCTGGTGTATTTTGTATAAACCGATATCTCAATTATTAGATATGGGACCCACACCAAATTAAATGAGTTTATAATGACATTAAATAAACAAGTTCTGCGCAAGCAGAATTTAAATTGAAGTTTGCGAAAAAAAGATAACCGAAACATCGAACATGGAACTGACGACACGGTACTGATGAATGGGATACAAATTTGAGATTAGATTTCGGAATTAAGTATTTTACTGATATTTTTTATTAGTGGATGCTACTTATCAACAAATCACATATAGCCTTATATAAATTACAATGAAATACCTATATATACGTAAGAAAATAACTACTCACCACAGTACTGAAATTTTGACTGGAACTATACGTGCATTCACCAAAACTTCGCCGCTTGCATTGTTTTCAAGATGACTGTCGTGCAAAGGGCGGCTCTGTAGGTAATTTTTAACCAACACTTGAGTTAAAACGAGGACTTGACGTTTAAACTTCAATATTTCGCAGGAATTTTGAATTTTAACATTGGACATTAATCTGACGGGTAAAAGTGAGTACAAAGATTATCAATTTTTTAAAAATTGCTTTTATTCGAATTTATGATAAAATATGAAAAATACATTATTTAATGTTTTATAGTTTGTAGTGAAATTGAAAAATTTAAGATAAATTGAATATATTTTAAATAAAATCATTCAAATATTTGATTCAGGAGTTGTGACACGCCAAGGTACTGATGTTTTGAATATTTAATATGTTTTTCTACAAACGTGCTTTTGAAAAAATACATTAAAATTGGGCGGACAAGTTAAAAAAACCTGGATCTTTGGTAATATACTAAAATATTTACAAAAAATATTAAAATACCTAATTAACTTTTTGTTTTTACTAGTTTTAATGGTATTATAAAAAATTAATTGAAAGACAATCAGAGCGTAAAATATATAACTGGTTAGCTTTTGCTACACTAAAAGCATGCTTTGAAACAATAATATAATTGAGTCAAAGAGAATATGAAAACACGACACGCAAATAAAAAAAGAAGTTGGTTGCTCGGGTAACGTTAATGTTCAATTTATTAAGAGCCTGCGGCTTGTTACAAAGACCCACACGAAACTTACTTGTGTAATACATGTACTGTTATTGGCAAGGATATATCCAGTTATAACAGGTATGGGTTTTAAATATGGTGATTTTATATTATAAAAATAATTCTTTTAAATTGTCAATAATAAGAATAATAATAATAATAAAAAATAATAATATTAATAAGGTATTTATTGCCCTTTAGATCACATTGGTGATAAAAGAAAGGTAATAAAATTACAGTTGTGGTAATTAATTAAATAATGATAATGTATTAAACAAGAGATTTTTCAATCAATAGTATCAGATAACAAAAAAGTAGTTTGTCTTAATAAAGTAAAAATCCCTATTCGTCCAACAATTGCTTTTGTTACGACAAAAAGATCATTTTTATAAAAATTATTCATCTACAAACGCTGCTTTCAATAATTCATATTCATAGAAATTTTGTAAATTTTACAAATCCCTTTCCGTTTAAAATAAAACTTTTTTTTATAATATTAATAGTTTATGTAAATTTAACAACAAATTAATTGTTAATTCAATAAACTATTTTTATTAACTGATGACATCAAGTTGTCCAACTTTTGTAGAATCACCTATGGGTATGGGTATGATGTACAAAATAAAAAAAATATGAACTCACTTTTTAAACAACAAGTCTGCTTCGTTTATAGATTTATTTCTTTTAGAAAACGTCGAAACTTTAATTTTCTTTTTGATAATTTTATCATGCCAGATTTTACCACACTTCACTCGCACAAGTGAAATCAATAAGATTATAACACAGACTGTGGATTATAAAGATATGCTCACCAAGGAGAGCGCTGGCCCTTTCCCCCTCTTTTAAGGGAAATAACAAAAATTTTGTTACCATTGCAAAACAATAGTAAATATTAAAAAAGTCTTTTTATAGCAATAAAATATTTTTGTTATTGTTCTTAACGTAAGCTATTAACAAATGACTTATTTAACCAAAACAATTTTAAATATAAATAAACCTTGTTCTGAATCATATAAATCAGGTTTGCAAACCTGCTATTTTTATAATTTTTCAATAATTAATTTCAGAATTTTGCTGATGGCAGATTCATTATAATTCTCAATTAGTAAAGCACAGGTGTTCATTAAGTTTAAATGGTTTTCTTATGATCATAATTACTTTACTATTTTTATGCAAAACTTTGGAATTAAATTAATTTTCCGATTTGTATTTTTGACCTTTATCAAACTTTAACAATAATTATTTTTAACAACAATTAAAACATTTGTCATTGTTTAGATGTTAATTGTTAAAATGGTTTTATGCCTCTGTAAGAAACACAACGTTTAAAACGATGTTTAAACTCTATAAACAGCACAAATCCAAAGCACAGACAGAGTCTGCGCAAAACTAAACTAAAATTTAAAATTGTATAATGACTAGGTATAAAAAAAATTACCATGTCTTATTGGGAGAAAAATCTACGATTTGTCAAAGTAATGAGATTATTTTTATTTACAGAATAAACTTTTTTTACTGTAAATAAAATTCTCATTTACTATAATGAAGCAGCAATGTTGAGCTTTTATAAAAAAATGTTCATCCAACAAAGTAATAGTTGTTATAATATTTTCATGGCAATAAGAAATACTTTATGTTTATATTAAATCTTTGTCGAACTTAAAATGTTTTTGTTAAATCTATAGTTGTGTGTGAATTGCGCTTACATAAAGTAATGCGCAGTTGTTATAGTAAAATTTGTTCATTTTACTATGGCATATTTGTCTTTTTTAAATTACTATCGTTGTAATTGAAATAAATTTTATTTCAGTTAGAAAATCTTTGTTAATAGCTTACGTTAAGAACAATAACAAAAATATTTTATTGCTATAAAAAGACTTTTTTAATATTTACTATTGTTTTGCAATGGTAACAAAATTTTTGTTATTTCCCTTAAAAAGAGGGGGAAAGGGCCAGCGCTCTCTTTGGTGAACATAACGTCTTATTGATTTCACTTGTGAGAGTGAAGTGTGGTAAAATGATAGAAATATCAAAACTAAGAAAATTAAAATTTCGACGTTTCTTAAAGAAATATTTAAGGTCTATTCTATAAACGAAGCAGGCTTGATTAAAGAGTGAGTTCGTATTTTTTTATTTTGTAAATCATATAATATGAGTTAATTTTTTTGTTATGATAATTTGTTTTAATGCCGTGCAATTATTTAAAAAAACTACCCAACACCCAACAGTAGGTTGAAAATGTGACCATTGTTACAATGAAAATAGCTTATTGAATTAACAATTAATTTGTTGTTGAATTTACATAAATTTTATTAATATTATAAAAAAAGTTTTATTTTAAACGAAAAGGGATTTGTAAAATTTACAAAATTTGTATGAATAATACCATTAGGGTTTCATTAATACTACAAAACGTTTTTGTAAACGGTATAGAACTGTTTTTTGGAAAAATAAAAATAACTATATTTATCAATGCGTTTCTGCATCTGGAAGAGTGTTATTTTTATAAACATAACGTGAATTTACTTTATAATTAATGAAAATGCTATTACTGAAAGCAGCGTTTGTAGATAAATAATTTTTATAAAAATGATCTTTTTGCCGTAACAAAAGCAATTGTTAGACGAAAAAACGACTTAATTGTAGTGAAAGCATATTGATAACTCACCTACGTAGGCCCGTATGTCGTAGCTAGTTCCTATAGGGGCTCCGTTGTATTCTTTGGCGGGTACTAACTGAACGCTTGGCGGGGCTAACGGGGTAATTTCCATGTTAAAAGGATAGGCATTGGGGCCCAAACGTTTTATCAAAGCTTCCTGAAAAAAAAATTTATTTGTTATTAATTTGAATTTTTAACTAAGTTTTTATTGTTAATTCTAATACTGTATACTGTATAATTTAAATGCAGTATTTTAGTTGTATTTCTATCTAAATGTTAATTTTTTCCCTGATGATACAACAACTTTTATTGCATTCATTCATTTACAGAGGAGTCTTGATTTCTCTAGAGACTATGTATGGACATTTGTCTGCTTTATATTTCTTTTTTGTCTATTGCATGTCTATTTATACAATAGATATCGGAAATTACTTAAAGGTGTGTTTCTCTTTTTAAAATTAAAATTACAATAAAACATATTTCTAAAAAGTGTACAGATCAGTGTGTGGTATAAATGTGTTCCTCATGGTTTAAACATTGTCACTTTAATGCGTTTTAATTTTAATTCTGAAAACAAACAGTAAAAAATGTAAATTTCCATTATTGTTCAATATCATACTCTATCCTGGGCATTTACCAGCCAATTCTTATGTAAAATTGTCCCCTGAACCCGAAAAGACCGTCAAAAACTATAAAAGTTAAGCAGTTTTTGAGATATAGTCAATTCCATATTATATGTAAAATTGATTATATTTCAAAAACTGTTCTACTTTTATAACTTTTGACGACATTTTCGGATTCAGCGAATAATATTTCATAGGAATTGACTGCTAAATGTCCTGGATACAAATTGCTGTTGACGATAATTATTAGTGGCTGCTTTTTCGCTATGACATTTTTGACTAATTCATTTTTAGAGAGTAATTAATATAGTGATTTCTTCGTCACAGGACATCTTGCAGAATAACAGTAATTTAAATACAGTGCATGATAGAGAACATAAAAAACTAATGGAAACAAAATTAATAAATTCGGAAAATACTTTTAACATGTATGTATACCACCCAAAAAAATATTAGATATATATAAATCATCTTATTCCGGCCTAAACATTATAAATGCTTCACAAACTAGAGATACCACCCTTAATGATATTTGCAACAAACTATTTCAGAAGTCAGACCAAGGAATTAGTACTTACCTTCAGAATCCAGAAAAGGAATGAGGAAACCGAGAAAGAAATATATGAATTATATGATATTTACAAAAACGAAATAAAAAAAATTACCTAAAAAGCAATTTATCTTTAAAAATATTTAACAATTTATGTTATGTCCATGTGTCCAATTACTATATAAAATGTCCAATTACTATACTTTTTGCATGTTTTTATAAAACTATTATTAAAAATTCAAATATTTTTATTTTTAAGTAATTTTTAATTTGCCTTAGCCCAAACAGAACTCGCATATTCAAGGTATTGCATTAAATTTTACGGTCTAGCATTCAGCAAATATTGTTGTGTAGTGTAGGTACTCGAAATATTTAAAACAAGTTGGCAAAGCTGTCTATAACAGACTTAAAATTACGTAAGTCTAAAAGTTTCGAGCAAGGGCTTAAAGCCTAATTAAACCAGATGTTCTGAAGCATGGTAAATGGCTCGCAGATACTTTCTTTATTACAGTAACTATCTTAGTTAGAAATATTTACTCTGACGCTATGATTGTTTTTTATTTTTGTTATGTTATGCTAAATATACGAGGTGTGTTCAGAAAATATCGGGAATTTTCGTTTTTTGAAACAAATATTTATTTATGCGTCTACATTAATGTTGTCGCCTTCAAAGTAGTCCCCATTGAATATTATGCACATGTGCCGGCTCTTCTTCCAATCCTCGAAACACTTCTAAAACTCGATCTTTGGGATAGCCTTTAGTTCTTTCAGCGATGCGCTTTTAATGTCATCTATGCTTGCAAAACTACGGCCCTTTAAGATTTTCTTTATTTTTGGGAATAGGAAAAGTCAGACAGAGGCATGTCTGGCGAATATGGAGGCTGGGGCATCATTACAGTATTGTTTTTGGCCAAAAATGTTGTTCAAAATTTAACAATTTTAGAACAAATTTTGCTGCCACGCGTTTCATACCCAAAACATTCGAAAAAATTTCATGGGATGAGCCAATCGATATACCAACATCATCAGCGACTTCTCTGATGGTTTATAACCATTTTTTCCACTTTTTTCATGTTTTTATCGGTTGTTAATGTGCTTGTGCGTTCGTGGAAACTCTTATACCACTTGTAAACTCTTGTTTTACTTATAGCAGACTCAATATGGCCTTTGATAACATTTCACAGAATTTATTTCATTTTTTAAGCAAAATTGGATGCAAATTCTTTGATCCATTTCTTTTAACGAACGAAAAATCGCCGAGCTCATAAAACACGTCTAACCTTAGCGGCTGCCACAGACAAAGTAAACAATGAAAACAGATAAAGTTTTTATCACACTTCGGGGGCATGTATACCAACATAATAAAGAAAATTTTATGACAACCGGACCCTCCGAACCCGCGAAATTTAACAATTCCCGTTATTTTCTGAACACACCTCGTATAAAACGGAAACCTCGATATATAATTTAGTATAGGATAGTTTTGAGGGTTGTTTAAAAAAATCGCTTGTATCGCCTTGTATTTTGTACTAATATGGCGTATTTTGCTCCAAAAATACAGTTTATCAAGATCTACACTTTAATACAAATCCGGTTAAAATCGCACAATAAATAAAGATTTTACAGGGGTGAGTCGCAAACAAATGGGTCACAATGAAGGTAACCTTGTGAAAACATCATATCTGACTTACATTTCTTGCCATATATTATATTCTTGAAATTTATTCTTGTAACATTTCGTTAAACGCACCCTAGGTAAACATTGGGGTGCTCGTAATAGGTTAATTTATCATTTAGATGTCCTTATAATTTTTGTGTTCGCATGGCACCGGGTAATTATTCTTGCCCCCAAGATTTGCTACGGTGTAATCATATTTAATGCATAAATAAATTTAAAAGGGTAAAAAAAATGAAACTAATTTATTAATTTAGATACCTATGTATTCAGCGACTTATACAAAAAATATGGAAAATAGAATACCTAAACTTAATATAAACTGACACTGACTACATAAAATAAACATAACAAAACATAAAGTACAAACTGAAAAATAAAATTCGTATAGCTAATTCTAATAATATTGAGATATAATTCAACACTATAGTAGTACAAATGTCGATAGAATAAATATGTATTCAGCGACCAACACAAAAATTTTGTAAGGATAAAATTAAGTTAATATAAACTGAAAACATAAATTACAAACTAAAGTAAATAGTAAGCTGATCAATAATGTAGCACAGTAGGAACATAGAAACACTTTTTATCCTCATTTGATCACCAGGTCATAATTTTTGATTTATCCCAGTCCCTGAACAATTTTGCAAATACCTACCTACCTATTCGGAAAAATAATATTCAATAATTACTCACCAGAAATGTGGTACTAACATCACAATGATACACTTCCTAACACTAACTAAAACTGCAAACTTATGATGCAGATTGCAGTTGAGCGACCGGCCGGCGTCTTATTTCAAGCGGGAAATCATTTCATTGGTTATCTTAGGTGGTGTGATGCTTCACTCCCGAACAAATTGTCCAATATTATAAAATTTATATTCTAACTCAAAGTTATACTATATTTATACGAATTATTTAAAAAATTGTACGAAAGAGTAACATTTTTATTTGAAATATTTTTAACAACAGATTTGAACTTTTTTTTGATAATATTGTGCAAATGGGTGAATATAAAATCTTACTTTTTTCAACAAATTATAGAAAATTTACTTTACAAACTAATTAGAAAGTTGTTCTAATGTGTCAACTTCGTTCTGGTATTCGGGGGCATTTAAATTTGTTACAAAAGTTATTTTTCATTTATTATTTTATGTCATACGTATTCCCCTGTTGACAAATATTTTTGTATTCAAAAAGTTTATTATTATTATAAGTATTTTTTAGAAAAATATTTTACAATTCGTATTGTATGTAAAATTGGGGGAATATGTTTTATAAATTTAATTAAATGTAAGGATGTTTCTAATTAACAGAACAAATCATTTAATTTAACAATGTTAAAAAATTGCCCATATCTTGCATGTAAATAATGACGTTGCTGCTAAATTTAAATTAAACCAAATTAATTGTGTAATGCAAAACTCGTGTATGTTAAAAACTTTAAATATTTTAGTATTCGTTACACAACGGGGTGGAATTAAATTGGCGAAAACATTATATTATGTCCTTAAAATCCTTTCATGTAATTTCCAGTTTAGGTTTGCTTTTAATACAATAATGAAATGTGGTAAAATAATAGTTAAATTTCAAGGCCCAGTAAAAAAACACATTTCTCAGCCAAATTGCATAAAACATATACGAGGTGTGTTCAGAAAATAACGGGAATTGTTAAATTTCGCGGGTTTGGAGGGTCCGGTTGTCATAAAATTTTCTTTATTATGTTGGTATACATGCCCCCGAAGTATGATAAAAACTTTAGCTGTTTTCATTGTTTACTTTGTCTGTGGCAGCCGCTAAGGTTAGACGTGTTTTATCAGCTCGGCGATTTTTCGTTAGTTAAAAGAAATGGATCAAAGAATTTGTATCCAATTTTGCTTAAAAAATGAAATAAATTCTGTGAAATGTTAACAAAGGCCTATAGTGAGTCTGCTATAAGTAAAACAAGATTTTACAAGTGGTATAAGAGTTTCCAAGATGGCCGTGAAGACGTTGAAGATGACGAACGCCCCGAACGCACAAGCATATTAACAACCGATAAAAACATGAAAAAAGTGGATGAAATGGTTATAAACCATCAGAGAAGTCGCTGATGATGTTGGTATATCGATTGGCTCATCCCATGAAATTTTTTCAAATGTTTTGGGTATGAAACGCGTGACAGCAAAATTTTTTCTAAAATTGTTAAATTTTGAACAACATTTTTGGCCAAAAACAATACTGTTGTGATGCCCCAGTCTCCATATTCGCCAGACATGCCTCTGTCTGACTTTTTCCTATTCCCAAAAATAAAGAGAACCTTA